AAGCAGTTTTGCCCCAGCCCTTGAGTTTTGCAATACTGAAGGGGCCCTCTGGGAAAACAAGTGCCGAACTACAGGAGAGGGCACCTCCCTATTGAAGAGCTATTTACTTTGGGTTGAAGAGGAGAAAAAATTTCAATAAAAGTCAAACATCCCATCTAATCACATGACAGGGGTGCATACCAGAACGTTGGTTATTGCCTACTGGGAGATACTTCTCAGATACCTTCCTTTATGAAAAGCAAAAGAGCAGGAGGAAACTAGTTTATAAATATTTGGCAATTTTTGACTAAACGGTGTTGATTAGAGTTACAAAAGGCTAGGAAATTTCTAAAGCAACACCTTCAAGATAAAGGAATTTGGATTCATTCAGCCCTACCCTATTTGGCTTAAATTAAAAACATCCTTCTGTTTCCAAATTTGTTTCTTTTCTAATTATCAAACGCTGTTAAGCAAGCAAACCTATTTTGCTAGGAAACAAATGCTGAGGTTCTGTTGAGAAAGATACTTCAGCCTTGCAAAGGCTTGCTTAAAGTCCTTCTCTTGTCATTTGAAGCAATTTCTAACATGCTCACGTTCTTTTCTTTCCACAGATAGTAGAGAGCTGGCAGACAAAAGAGTGCCAAGGGATTTAGTGGTTGTTATAATAAATGAAATGTTGGAACACTGAACAAGAACCAGGTGCATTTCTGTTGTCAATCCACTGAATTCAGTCAAACCAAAACAAATACTATTTTGGCCAGCTATAAACTTTTATGCTTACCAGTTTTCTTTATTTAAAACAAATGACCCATAAAAAAAAAAGAAAAACCCCATATCTGGACTAAGTGAATGCTGCACATACACATGGCAGGACAGCATCCCAGTCACACACATCCCACAGTCGCTGTCTTAAGACAGAGTTGCTCCTTCAGGGTAGATTCATTCTCTCTCTAGAATAATCTTGGCATAATCTCAGAATAAACCTGAGGTAAAGCAGTCAGATAGTGCAAAAGCAACAGCAGCAGTCATCTTTTCTTCCAGTTACTCGCCTTCTCTATCAAAACAAGTTTCTGTTCTCTGGCAATACATTTAATTTTTATTTTAATATCTGATTTTATTTTCAGAACACCTCAGAGCCCAGGCTTGTACCAGGATCTGCCAGTGGGTTCCACACAAACTGGCGGTTCCTACGCAAAAGGAAACTTTCA